CGAAAACAACCTCCAGCGGCTTTAAACCCTTGCTACCGATACGCCTTCTTTGGCAACATAACCCCAACACGCCACCTGAACAAGAGTACCGACCCGGTGTACCGACCCGGTGTCTCTCACACTATGGGTCGATTCACAGTAATTTTTTTTATCGTCACTTGGGCCCAACAGCCAATCAGAAGCCTCTGTATCGTCTCCGAAAAAAGTTGGTCCTGGACCACCTCGCGGAGGTCCGCTAAATCGATATCTGGGTCCAAGACACGGTAAAGGCAAAAAACAGCGATTCACAGTAACATGCAAACTCGACGGTGATTGGTCAGACGGAATCGCGCGAACTGGATCGCGCGCTCGGTGCTGATTGGCTGAGAGGTTCGCGCCAAAAGGATGGCGCCGAAAGGAATGGCTTCGGGACGACGCGCATTGCCCCATTTGCATCCTGCCGCCCACGGCCCACCACGGCGTCGTCATCACTGCGCTCGCCTTCATCGTAACGCTTAGAGCACATTGCTACGCTCGACTGTCGACATGAACCACGTCCCAAGGAGCGCCAGTTTGTCGTCACGGGTGTATACAGTATTAGGGCGCGCGCCAACAACGATGATCGCGTGCATCGCCCGCGTCACCACCAAGTACAGCCCATCGTCGCGCAACGTCACGGACTTCCAGTACGTCTCCGCAATGCGGCAACGCTTGTCCACTGATATCTCGTGTGCGTGTAGGTCGCGATGACGACGCTGTCTGCAGACAAAGACGTGCTCGTTCTCCGTTGCATCTACCACCTCGACGCCTGCTGAGCAATGCGCCTCGGAACAAGGTCCGGAATCGAGGGTTTCCAGTGCTGCGGGATCGATAGACTACCGAGGAAGACTACGTAGCTCCGAAACGAGAAGACGTAACTACGTAGGTCTCCTCTCTCGGACTTGGCAGAGAGAGGCCCGCCACGCCTTTGACAAAAAGGCGCCAAGTATCCACTTGTTCTTTTGTATTTTGTGTTTTACACCAATCAGAAGAACGAGAGCCAGATTTTCTGCCAATGAAATGGAGGCAGCCCTGTTGGCTCCAGTGACATGGGGGACCTTTAAACCAACCAATCACAGGCCTCAGAATACCACCTGTTCACAATGCTGGCAGCGAAGCCAAGACTCTGCTTTTTGCCAGGTGCCGATGTAAAATCACTGTGTATCGTTTCTCCATCATTTGGGAAGCGCATCTTGAAAGTTTACTTTGCACACTGCTGTGCCAGGTCTGTGCTGCTGCTTGTGGATAGTGAAAAGTGATTCCGCAGCGAACAAAATGAGGCGAGAACTGGAATGCCACTGGACGAACATCACATTCTCTTTGGGACACATCGTGAAGGTCAAGGAGCCAAGTGTAATTGCAACTTGGAGGTTTGTTTGTTCGGATAGTCAAATTTCTGAGCTTGTTCGAAACAACACTTCACGCGTCATTTGTGTAGCGTGTCTCTCGAACTCTCCTTGCTGTTGCTCAGCAGTCTGCCCCCGTCACTTGACCATACATGCAGCAAGGAACGCTTCAGCAAGTGTCCATGAAAATTCTATGACCTTGTGGCTAAAGCCCAGGCTCGAGCTCAAACGCGTGGTCCGTGTGACCGAGCAAAGAATCCTGGGCGTCCAGTTCAGCTAAATTCACGGCTCAAGTTCTCTTTCAAAGTAGGTACTGCGAGGCGCTCTCTGCAATATACGAAACATGTTCATGGTATTGGACTACCGGTACTAGCCTCATAGAGTCAAATCGGGAGAAAGCGCAAGACCGCTACGTGGCGCTTCGCAAATACACAGTACAATAGTACTGGTAAAGCGCGTAGTGTACCGCGATGTAATCTGCGATGGGTCTCTCGACATGTGCGTGCATAAGGTGACCCGATCGACGCGATATCAGTCAACTATCCGGATTGGCAGTGCACCAAATTGACATTTCAAGACATTTTCCGCGCCAAATTACATGAATCCGGCTCGCAGAAAAGACACGCGACATACAAACAGCGAGATTAAACATGCTTTTGTCCGGACACTTGGCACGAACTCCCACTTGGATCAGCCTATCCAAATCGTGTGTGCGAGTACACCGTAGAGGCGCATTGCTCTTGCGTGTCAACTAGATACCAATCCGCTTTCTTCGCATGTGGGCCCTTCCAGCGGCAGTCCGATGTAGTGTGTGTGGATTACCTATACATCCCACAGCAACCTTACCGGTATTCCATTGCAGTGCACGGGCAGGCGGGGCTTCCTCGATTCCAAGCCTAACTAGCTCATACGGGAGGTCGCAAATGATTAATAAGAACAAGTTTTTGTGATTGGGATCATATAAATTGAATGCTGCTAATACTAGGGCTCATAAAATAAGGGTTGTGCAATGGAATGGCATGCAAGTCGGGAGGCGACGAAGCTACGGGGCGATCTCGACGTTGTCGAGGCTTTGCAGCAGCGACCAATCCTCGTCCTTGATCTCGTGGCACGTCGTCGCCTCGTCAAAGTCCAGCGGCTCCCACGCTTCGCGGTCAATGAGGAGCGAGAGCAGCATGTAGTCGAAGTCAAAGCCGTTCGCGTCCGCAGCCGTGGTTGCTTGTTCGCGCAATGTGAGGCTTTCGCGGTAGTGGCGCTGGCAGTACCCGCCCATGCGCACGTGCTGGGAGCAGGATGGGATCTTGCACGACCGACCGCCGCCGTGACGGACGCAGAGCTGGCGCGCGTGTGCTTGCTTGGCGCAGCCTTCGACAGAGCAGAGGCGGCGGTCGCACTGGCCGCCGTGCTTGAGGCAGAAGGTACCGCCCTTTGCGTATGAGAGGCAGCCTTCGAACGCGCATGGCTTCTTGCCGCCGTGGCGCACACAAAGGTTGCGGGCGTACACTTGGTTTTGACAGTCGTCGCGGGAGCACATCTTGCGGTCTTTATGGTACTCGCACTTGCCACCGGCGTCGGCAATCGCCACGTTGACGCAGCTACGGAAGGCGCAGAGGTTGGTCATCTTGTCGGGAGGTGTTGCTTGGAAGGAGGAAAATTGGAAAATGCCGAACTTTTTATCATCCACGAGGTGTCATCGACCGCGCAGGAGGGTGGTACTTCTCTTCGTATTGTTTCACCTTCACTTGGAGTTGAGCCGTCTCGATCTTAGATCTAATACCAGCTGGTCTGTGTGTGACCAACCCAGCATCGAGTGACGCGCGCGGAGCCGTACATCCACCCTACCATATGCACCGTAGGTCCCAAACCATCAGCCTTGCGCCACCTGCTCGATGATTAGTGCGGCAGCTGGCAACGTCGATGCTCAATGAAAGCGTCGGCAATGCCCTTGGTACAGTACCGGTACCAACGTTGCAGGAGGCAGAAAGCCCGCCGTACGAAATTGGGGAAGTGTTGTAACTTGTCAAGGTGTAACTGTGCAGCTAGCTACCCTCATGTCAGCCCCGTAGAACTTCGGGTGAGGTTAAGCGAGGCCCGACTCGATCAACAGGATGCGAAGTCGCAGCGACTTTTAAGCCCTTAGCCCTCTATAGAAGGCGCACCCTCATTGACAATAATGAGGAGTGCGATTACTAATCACGCACGTACTTTAGTTTTAAGTCCCCCATGGGCGCTGGCGTCTTTTCTCACGCCGTGATCACTTGCGCGATCGAATCTGGTTCAACTTGAAGAATGTTGGGCGACGCTTTCGCCAGGAAAGGAAGTCGTCGCCAGCAGAGCCGGAAGTCGCTGGCAGCTGGTGACGAACGGCGCCACCCGAAAAGCAAATGGCATCAGTATTATGTATCTCACTTGAGGGATACACGCCTATAAGCGCATTTACGCGGCACCAGAATACGATATGAGTAGACGCACACTATTGTGTCGGTATCAGTCGTGATGGAATTCTGTTCTAAAGCTGATATCCAATATACTGACCATCGCGACCGGACAGTTTGGGACACAACGATCTCTATTGCGAGCTCTGTCGTGCTCGTATTAGAGGCGGTCGAGAGCCACTTCGCAGTCGAATGCGTACGCACTTGCATGATGCCACCTCTGGCGCACAGTGAAAATTACACGAAAAAGACGCGCTGCGAAATGCTCGGAACACAGAAATGCAAAGCAAACGACGAAAGCAGTGTCTACGGAGTGCATTATTCTGTACCAGATAGCGCATCTGGCGATTGCAAGCACCGGCTTTCCAGCATCCCCGCTGTTGCCGCATGTAGACGCTGGCGTATGTCGGCGATGCCGGAATTCTCCCGCGTCTTCCAAGCACCGTTTTCCTTCACACGTGTCCCAGACCCCTGCTCACTGACGCAACGACAGCGACCAAGCCAGTTCGTCGCCACGCACGCACGCATGTCGAGCGCATCTGCCCACGCAATGGCACCTCATTCGACCCGGTCGTTCGGGTGCACGTTAAACGCGAGTTAAAAATAGCGGGAACAAGCCAATCCAGTGGCGCCGATGAGAATATATCGGCCAATGAAAACGCGAGGTGACGGGCCTTGCCAGGAGAGTTCAGATTTGTAGCATGAGCACCGAGAAGGCAGCGCCACCACCGCTCTTCTCGATACCGTCCAAGAAGGGCGTGCATCGGACGCCACAGCCCTTCACGACGACGGAAGGCCGCTTCAAGTGGCAGAACGCGCACTCCAACACAGGCACGTACACATGTATATTCACTGCTGCGTGTCTCCAGCGCACTAACTTCAACTTGCACAGATGCGTTGTACAAGCTACCTGGCACACTCAGTCCGATGAGCAAAAGCTTCGGCACAAGCACGCGCGAAGATTGGGACCCGCGCTCAAAGCGGCCGGTCGCTGGTAGGCACGTACATGCACTGCGTCTCGACGATGGGAGCACGTAGGTATCGGCTCGTACGAGGCCCCTAAGTCGTGCGGGAAGCAAGTGTCGTCCATGGCCCGCACAGCCTCGGACCTCTCGTTTAGCATTGCGGCGCGGTCCTCGAGCCGCACCAACAACACGCCGAGCCCTGGACCCATTTACAACATGCCGGGCGCGTTCGACAATAAAGTTACAAACGCGTTTGGCTTTGGCACCTCGAAGCGCCCGCCGCTCGACGGCGCTGGGTTAGGCCCAGGCCCAACAACCGCGACGCCCGGGCCTGGATCCGCGCCCAAATACGCGTCGCCCTGCATTTCGTCCACGTTTGGCTCGGAGAAGCGGCTGCGCCAGAACGCAGGTATCAAGACGCCAGGACCGGTCTATGACGTCGAGTGCACAGGCTTTCGCACCGGACCCAAGTCGTCCTTTAGCGTCGCCCGGCGACTTTAATCCACTTGATGGTGCATCTTGGATCATTTTTATGCACCGCGTGCGTCGGCGGACGTTGTTGTAGTGTAGCACTGACGCTCTCGGCTACTCGACGCGTTGATATGTCCAAGCGGAGGATGGCGACGAAGGTCGCTGAAGGGGTCGAGCGTGACGCGCTTCCGTGTATGATTAGTACTTGAAGTCGCATTAGGTCGACTAAGACGCATCACGCGACGTTGCCGGGGCGATATTCTGCAAAAAATGTGCCGCGGATCCCGTCAACACACGCGCAAGTTTGCGGGCGCACGCCAGCTGCAGATATTTGAGCGATGATCCAAGTGTCGTAGCTACTCCTGAGATAGGATGTGCACGTTAGGCGATTTCAAAGCAAACTGGCGTCAGGGGATAGAACCACGTGGATCTAGGACGACGTGGCACAGTGCTGGCTTCGCTTCAGAGACAGCAGTACAAGGCAGGTTGGTCACATCGCGCTAGATTAAACACACCGGGTTCCCGTTGTAAGTCTACAAAGAGGGGCGTCGCGTCAACCGACTCTCCTGAGCGATGAACTCGCCGGTGTCCCTTTCTCACCGACTCCACGAGGAAACCTTCCTTGATGACGAGCACACATCTGCACATGGCCACGTGCGCCACTTCAGCAGGCAGTGCGACGGCGACGCCAACTAGTAGGAGCATCGAGTGTGCAGAGGGACTGACATAGACTGAATTGTTTAGGACTTGCAAGAATGCACCAAGAACACATTCGTCATAATGTACTAGTAGATCACAATCATCTCTCATCAATATATTGACCGGGCCACAAACCAAGCCGCGAGACAAGAAGCCAGGTACTTGTACGAGTCGTCGTCTACTCCTTAGATCAACTCCATCTTGATCTCCGTGGGCGCCTTGACGTCGCCGTTGTGGATATCGAGGCGCTTGAGGAAGGCGTCCAATTCGCCCTGCAACTGCTTGTGCTCGTCCTCCGAGAGCTTGACGACGGTGCCCTGCTGCTTCTCGAGGTTCTCGGCGAACGCGCGGAGCTCCTTGCCGAAGGCGGCGGCGACGGGGTCCTGCTTGTTGTCGTCGGGCTTCTCCGACAAGACGTCAAGCGCCATCTGGAACGCCTCCGTCTTGACGGCCTTCTTGCCCGACGCGAACTGCGAGCGGACAGCTTCGGCAGCCTGCGAGATCATGGCATCCTGGAGCTGCTGGTTGTAGCTCTGCTCCAAGTTGTGGATGGCCTCCAAGTTCTTGACGTAGACGTCACGCGTCTTGTGGCGCAACTTCTGCGACTGGACGCGGCACATCAAGGCGAGAGCCTCCTCGTGGGCCACGCCCAAGGCATCAATGTCCTTGCGGATGGTCAAGATGGCTTCGTGGGCCTTCAACGTCTCCTTGGCAACAGCCAGGTTGGCGTCTTCGACGGCGTTCTGCTCACTATACCGCCAAACACATTAGTGGGCATACATCGACACCAGGAGAACGTACGCCAAGATGGCGTTGGCGCGGGCTTCAAAATACGAGCCAACGGCATCACCGCCGAACTTGTACGCCGACGTGCAGAAGAGGAGGAAGCAGCACGCCAACTGCGACTCGGCGCCGAGCTCATAGAACTAGAATGGGAGTTAGTCCCATGATCGCATAGAGACGACAGGCGTACGCCGTTGCTGAGCGCAGGGATCGAGCACGCGAGCACGAGCGGCATCGAGATCTTCCAGTCATCGAGGCCGATCTTCTGGAAGACACCGTCGTGGTTCTCGGCGGCGACGGCGACCTCGCCTTCCTTCTCTTCCTTAAGGCGGAGGGCACCTACATGGCCTTATGAGACTTCGTTTGTCTACCTCGCGATGCGTGTACCCGTGTGGAACGAAGCACCAACGGGCTTCAAGGCCGAGCGGCGCGCGGCCGTGGCGGAGCGGAGGGCAAAGCGGCTGAGCATCGTCGAAATGAAAAAACCAAAGTCCCGAAAATGTATGGAGGAAAACCAGTCAGTTCCCCGCGCCCGTAAAAAGCCATCGAACATTGAGACCGGCAGGTTTATCCGGATATACCGGATACCACATGAGGTGGACGGCGCGTGCCGCAAAACGGCACTCATAAAAGACATACAATAGCCAAGAAAGCCGCGTTCCATCGGGTTCGTCGGATACGAAAAGGTCCGTCTCGGACCAAGATTTGGATACCTCGAACAAAGTATGAGAGGCTCTTCTTCACACGCTCACGCAAGAGCACTTGCGTTGTAGTGCGATCTCAAGCACAATCAGCTCGTTCATTCTCACCGCGCCACGGGTGCATTCGGGTTTGAGCAACGCTTGCACGGTTGCATACGTCATCATCGTTGAATCTCCATGACGATCGTCCCGCCAGTGCTTTTTGACGCGCGAGCAGGACAAGCAAGGCGAACACCGGGACACTAACGCGGATGGAGGCAGCGAGTAGCCGCAAACATGGAATGCTCCACCGCCGGACCTCCATTTGAAGTAGCTGCTTCTTGAAGCTGGCTCTGTGTAAGCAACAGGCGACAGCTCTGTTCCACGAGGTGCTCGCCTTGATAGCATGCATAGAAGGCTCGCACAAGGGGGAAGTAGATAAAGAATGGAAATGCTCCCGGCAGCATGACGCCAGGGACGACACGGCTGGGTTGAGGACACCGATACCCTATGACGTGGCGTGCCAAGACGCTGGCGTCAGCCAACTTATGTGAAGGGTTCTAAATTTAGCGCGATCGGGAATATTGCGATCGTTTTTCCCGTCGCCAGAATCGGAAACCATGGCGGAGACGAAGGACCGGTCTCCGTTCAGCCTCCTCCGAAGCCTCTTCTTCAAGCGACCTGCACCACCGAAAGCTGGCGCGCCGCCGACCTCCGCGCCCGTCGTACGCTCTTCCAGCGGGTGCTGTAGCCTCTCATGCGCGCTGCATAAACATAGGAAGTTCCCGCAACGGTCGCGCTCGAGGTACCGCGATTGCCAACACCGCGAAAGCGAGCGCACTTCCACGAGCTCTACGAAGTGACGAAGGATCTTGGTAACGGCTCGTACTCGCTCGTCAAGCAAGTGACACACAAGAGACACGGTGGTTGCTTCGCCGCCAAGATCATCGACAAGTCCGCGCTTTCAAAAGTTGATCGTCACGCCTTGAGCCAAGAAGTTGATGTGCTCAAAAAGGTATGCATGCAGTGCAAACGAGAGATGCTCATGACCGCGGTAGCTCAACCACGACTACGTCATGCAGCTCCACGAAGTGTTTGACGACGACGCGACATGCTACATGGTGGTCGAGTACCTCGACGGCGGCGACCTTTTTGACCGCGTTACCAAGCGCGGAAAGCTGCTGGAGACGGAGGCGCAATTCATCATGGCCGCGCTTCTTGAGGCCGTCGACTACTGCCACTCGCGCTGCGTCATCCACCGCGACATCAAGCCCGAGAACATCATGCTCTCCGGTCATATGATCAAGCTTTGTGACTTTGGCTTTGCTCGACAGCTCATTGCCGTGGATGAGCGCGCGTCCGACTCGTGCGGTACGCCAGGCTATGCCGCCCCCGAGGTCCTCAACGGCCACCCGTACGGTACACAAGCACAGATGCAAACAGACAGGCGGATGCATTATGCAACTATTTCTCTTATTAGGGTGCGAAGTCGACATCTTTAGCCTCGGTGTCGTCTTTTACATTCTTCTTTGTGGTTACCCGCCGTTCCCGATGAAGCTGCACAAGCTGCGAAAGCATACGTTCGAGGTGGTCTTCCCACCCAAGGAGTGGCAGTGCGTCTCGGACGAGATCAAGAGCCTGGTACAGGAATGCAACATCTATTCGCGCACATTTATCTCGTTCTCGTAGATCCGCAGCATGCTCTCGGTGATTCCTTCGCATCGTCCGTCGGCTCTCGCACTCCGAATGCACCCGTGGATGAAAGCGGGACGGGAGAAACTTCCGCCACGCCCCATCTCGGACCTGCGCAGCGACCTCTACGGGCCACGCGGTGTCCACGCCATCAAGTACGGCCGGCACGGCTTTCCCCACGCGACGCACGTGCGCATTTGCGACGTCTGCCACACTCTCACGTGGTCGTCAAAGTCGATTCGCGATCCAATGACGCCATCATCGTCCGTCGCGCGGTCCTTCTTTGGCACGACAAGCCCACGCCCAAGTTCGTCGCGACCCGGTGGTCGCTGCGCACACACGCAGATGGGACTGCTCCTCGAAAGCGTAGTGCGCGTCGTCCACGGTCCGAGAACCCCAGTGTTTGACCGCGTGATGCGCCCAACGCCGGACAACTGCTGCTCGCTGCTAACCAAGACCCGGACGCTCGACCTCGAATTCGGCTCGAAACGCGTGTGCGAGGAGATGCTGGAACTCTTTACGAACGCGATCGTCGACGCAGCTGCGGCGACGCCCCCCGAGACAACACGACGCGCGCTCGTCGCACCAACCTTGTCTCCCTAGTTTATATATTCCGGCGCCGCTGTACATTTCATATCCCGACACATCGTATCTTTATGGTCAATAGCTACGCGCACAAGGTTTTCAGGCCGTTTTGGTCTTCTTGCGCAAGAGCAATTGCACAAACGACGGATCAAAGCGCCAAATCAAAATCAAAACGATCACAAAGAGACCGCCACCGACGCCAACGTGAAGCGCGTGGTGAGCGAGGCTTGGTCCGCGGGCGACACCTTCGCTGACGAACGTGAGACCCATAGCAGCAGCAAAACCGAGGCTGACTTGCCACGGCGGCAGAGTCTCGAGAATTAGGTTGGCGATGGTCGCGTCTTGGAAGAAGCCGACCATGTACCAGAAACAGTACCCGATGCGGAGCGTCATGTTGATGCAATTGGCGAGGACGATGCCGATGTTGCCGAGCTGCGCGATGTGCAAAAGCCCGACGGCGCTCGCAGTCGTGACCACAAAGCAAAACACGAGGTACGAGTTAAGTCGCTGGAGCGCGGTCTTGTCGCCGACCGCGTGGACGAAGGCTTCGCAGATGCCGTTGAGACCGAGGAAGTAGACGTAGACAAAGTACATGGCGAGGACGACTGGCGTATCCCCCTGCGCCTTGTCGTAGCCCGCGAGAAGGTACAGAGCCGTGCGGGCATAGTTGGTGCCGAAACACACAAAGATGAGACCGACATACGTCATGCCTTGGAGCACCCGTAGCAGCCACGTGCGTGCCTCGGCTTTGCTGGACGGTGAGACGGGCACCGCAAGAAGCTTGCTGAACATCGCCTTGCTCGCGTCCTCAATCGGCAGGAAGAGCAGACGCGGCGCAAGGGACCCGATGTTGAACGCGACCGAGTACGCCCCCATGCTCTGGTACGACTCGAACGCGGACAAAATGAGTTTGTCGCCTTCAGTCAAGAGGTACTTGAGGCACGACTGCAAAAAGAGCGTCGCCCAGAGCGTCAGCAGCGGGAGGTTTAATGGCACGCGCGGCGACGGCAATAGCTCGAGTATGGACGTGAGCGGGAAACGCGAAGAGCCCAGTTGTTGGTAGTAGTGTTGCAAGTAAACAAGACCGTGTACGACTGCAAACGCTACTTGAGAGAAGCCGAAGGCAACCATGCCCACGTCAAAGACCACGACGAGGACAACCTGGACGACGGCCTTGGTGAAGAAACCCCAGCCTTGGGCCTGCACGCGCAGCGGAAAGTTGAGACTTGCGTTCGCGACAATGTAGAGCGGCTCGGTAAGGTACTCGATCGCGGCCGAGAGGCAAAAGAGCCACAGGGACGTCTGGAAGGCATCGTAGTCGCCCGCGGTTGTGTCGTACAGGCGAGGTGCCATACATAAGGCAGCGGCCAACGTGCATAGAATGCCCACAAAGGTCGATACCCACGCCGTGTTGAGCAGCTTTCGAAGCGAAATAGCCTCCGAGAGGTTCTCTTCGCGGAGAGACGCCAGCCGCAGACCTTCGCGCACGATGAACGTCGTGGAGAGGACAAGCTCGAGCGAGAGGCTCACGCCCGAGAGATGCACCGGCAAACGACGAAGCGTGAGCATGTTCATGACAAACGTACCGCCCTTTTGCAGGAACGAAAGTCCGAGCATGCGCGCGCCGCCAGCGACGATGACTTCGGCGACGCCCATGGTGCTCAAGATACCACGTTGATTCGTAGATAAGTTTGGTACTTTTGGCCAATGAACGCCAGTGTCACTGGCGGGCCATGGCTAAACCAACGCCACCTACGGGCCAAGTCGCGCAGAAACATTTACTGGTACTTCTCGATGCCCCAAAGAACGTATCCCAAGTGCTTTGAGAACGAGTTCAGCTTACGCTCTCACCTTGGGCCTAAAGGCCAGAGCGCGATTGGTGAGATATGTCTATAGCCCACCAAATGCGCCAGCATAGACGTGACGTAGGACCTCGGCGGCTTGCATCCATGTTGGGTGCAATTAGTCTCTTGACGTGTGTCTCCTTTTCACGACGTACCATTGGTCCATTTCTGACTTGATCGATGCCCCTGACCAATTATATCGCAGTAGATGTGGGAACGCGCTGGGATTGGCTGCGCTTGATTCAAAAGCCACGACGAGTTTCGACCGCGCCTCTTCATTTTGAAACATGGTAAGCTACCGGGAAGCCGCAACGGAAGACGCAGCAGCCATTGTAGCGCTCGTCAACTACTGCTATCGAGGAGAACCGAGCAAAGAAGGCTGGACAACTGAGGCAGATTTTCTCACAGAACCTCGGACGGACGCCGACGAAGTCGCAGCCTTGGTGACAACAACGTCGAAGTTCATCCTCGCGGAAGAAGACTCGACGCTGGTGGGGTGCGTCAACGTCCAGCTGCAAGTAAAGGAAGCTACGGGATACCTCGGCCTCTTTGTCGTCCTACCGAGTCTCCAGGGGCGCGGTCTGGGGAAGGCCCTGCTGGCCACAGCTGAAGCGACACTCACGGAGACATGGCCCGTCACAGTGATTGAGATCACCGTCTTGACGATTCGCACCGAAATCCTCGCATTCTACGAGCGCCGAGGCTACAAGCGCACGGGACATACTTGGCCGGCCAATGTTCCTGGCGCCACGGTGCCAAACCTCATGTTCGAAACGCTTGTTAAACAAGTCGAGCGTTGGCCGCATTCGTCGTGTTTGTCGTAATGAAGTAATCGGCCCGACATGTGGTCGGCCATATATCACTTGTGTGTGCCGGTGCCAAATTTCGCTGCATGGGGGCCAGGTTCCAGGACTTCATTGAGCTTTATTGCTTCCGAACATCAACAAAATAAACTACGCTGAGGCATTATAGCCAAGGTCACCCACGAGGAGCACTGCAAGCTACCGAAATGGCATGCGCTTGACTTGACTCTTCAAGGATGATTTCCGCTTAATTTTTTTGCCGGTCTTGGTCGTGACCACTTGCGATGGACTTCCCGTGCATGGGTTGCTCTCGGCGGGGGACGCCAGCGAATCTTGAATACTCTGGTTGCGCTCCTTCATAGCGTCAAGTTCGTGCTCCCAGCAAACAAGCGCAGTCGAAGCAGAGACGTCGCCTTGCCACCGAACTTGGAAACGGTACACGTCCGGCACACGGTTCAAGTAGGCATCCAGTGAGATATCACTGTCATCTTCGATGCACAGCGGCGGATGCACGGCATCACGAAAGAGCTGGAGCATGTGCAGACTACGCACGCCTCGCTCGTCAACAGCGGTGCGCACGGTGCTCAGCAACAGTAGCTTAGCCTGAGGCACACAATACAATAGTGGCTCAAAAAGCAAAAATATTCCATACCTGGACGCTGATGCAGTCTTGGAGCATCAGCGTGAGTTTGGACCCGTGATATCGCACGAAGCTCGGGTCTTGTTGCCGAATATCCGCCAAACATGTAGTGAGCGCCAGCAAACTGTTCTCGGCACTGATGGTTGCGCGGATGCGATCCGTGTCTTGCCACGTTGTCACAACTGTTGAGTCCATGCCGGACGCCAACTCGACGACCTAGCCGCAATTAATTGTGACCGTAGCGAGCTTGTAGAACGCACCTGGAGCTTCGACTTCGTCGTGCAGTTTGAGAAGACGTGGCTCACAGTAATGCAAATCGTCACAATCTTGTGAGTCAGATGCAGCATTGTTGGGCAAGTTTCGCAGATGCATCCAAAGTTTTTGGCTCCTTCTGCGACTGCGATCTCTGCGTCGTGGGCGTCACGTATGTCGAGGACAACGGTCGGGGTGCTAACGACAACGGTGTCGCCGACGGGCGCTGCATCGACGGCGAGGAGATCGTGGACAACTTCACTGTAGACCCCCAGGTAGCTCATAGAGCAGTGTACGTCCGCGAAACCAAAGAGCGCATCGCATTGCTTGAAAAGCTGCTCGAAAACTAGCGATAAGGCCGATGTTCCGACGGGTCGTGTAAGTGCTGGTGCGATAGGGTCCGGAAGCAGCCGCTCAATTTCCGGTTGGTCTACAGGTACTTTCACGCTGCGACGTCATGCATCGGTCTTCTCGTACCTTGAAATGTGACGACGCACGCATTGTAGCCGTGGAGAACACTTTGTACCGTGGGCACGATGGACTCGCCGTTGAGCCACTCCTTGGCCCGGTTCGAGAAAATGTGGTCCACTTGCACACGGATTGCGTCGCCAGACTCGGGTCGGTACAGAAGCTCGCCCGTGAGGTAGTTCGCCGTGACACGCCGCGCATCGACGTCGTTTGCACTGCTGCTGTTGGTGGGGTTGATAACTTGACAGATAAGTAGCGCGTTGCGGTGGACGGCCCAAAGCTGGTCATGGAGGTGGACATTCGTGTCTGTTGCATGCGAGATGGCGTGCCGCAAGAGCGCGTGCTCGGCGAACGCCATCTGCACGTACTGCCCCGCGTGGCTCATTTTCGTTTTGAGCAAGTTCAAGAAAAAGAGAGTTTCCGATTTCTACACGAATGAATTGTGCCATTGTTCAGCACTCCGATTCGGTACCCAGTTGGTCAATATATCTCTCGACTCGTGAACCAGATGTCGCAGTCGACTTACGGACACCAACGCGGTCTCTGCCACTTGAAGAGCTTGCGACTCGAACACAGCGTGCTGTTGCAACATGAGCCCTAAGAAGCGTCACGACAAGTTCGCATCGACAAGGTGCACCTTGGCTCTGAAGGTGCTCGCGCGCGCTGGACCCATACGCTTGGAATGCTTTGGCTTCTGCTGTCTTGGCAGTTACCGTGCCTAGACTACAGTTGGACCCATGTTGCGCCACACCGTTTTCTACCTTTGAGTGTGTTGACCGAGTGCTTTAGCCCTGCGATCTCGTCTTGGGCCTTGGATAAGATGTCGTTCTCGCACTTGAGCTGCTCATTAAGCGTGCGCATGCGAAGACTCTCGGCGACGAGCTCTTCGTTGTGGGCCGAGACCTGCTGGAGGCGCGTGTGGACTTGGTTTAAGGTCTCTTCCCGCGAAGCGAGATCGTGCTGGCCGCGCTTCAAGAGCTCGGTGCTTTTTGAAGCCTCTTTCCGCAGCGTTTGGTTTTCGAGCTGAAGTCGCGTCACCTTATCTTCGTACTCGACAACGGCCACCCGAGCATTTGCTACTTGGCTGCGAAGGCTCTCGACCTCATCTTGCGCCATCGAATGACGCGCCTGAACTTCCGAGAGCTTGAGCTCGAGCGCTGCCGCACGCTCTTTTGCGAGGGTCTCCTGCATCGCGGCTTCAGCCACAGTCTTGCGCCAGTATTGGTCCTCCATAGAGCTCTTGGGCGGACTCGTTGCTGGCGGCGGGGGTAGCACAATACCACTTCCTGGAGCTTCCAAGTGCGTGTGCACGAGCTTACGAAGATCGTTGATTTCTTGATGGAGACGCTGCTCCTCGGATGCGGCGTGCGTGCGAAGCTCAAGTTTCTCATGTTGCAGTGCGTGCATTTCGGTAAAGAGGTGGCGATTCCGAGCCTCCAAGTCGCCATACTGAAGTCGGAGCGTCGAGAGCTCCTTGGTCAGACTCACAAGAAGGCTTCCGACCGACGCGGCGTCCGTCGACGGCTCATCGTGCAGAGTCTCGACCCCACGGCCCTCGGTGGCCTTGTCCATTCCAAGCGGTATCTTTGGTGTCGAACGCGCTGATTGGTTGAAAATAGTGTGATGTGTGCTGATTGGTCAAAACCCACGTTGGATCTTGGCGCTGTAACGAGCTGCTAAAATTACAACGCGATGCCTCCGCCCAAGTTCTCGCGCAGCTTCGAGGCGGTCTACGCCGAGGACGTCCGTCGGCGCCATGCGTCGCCCGCACCTCCGCTGGAGCTCGGCGTCAAAGGCCGGCTCAACAACCAAGAGATGGAGATGCTGCGGCAAAAGGTGCTCTGCGCCACGAAGAAGACAGGCCTGAGACCACCTTCTTCGTAGCTCGCACAGGCGACAGCGTACGACCACACGCCCATGGACAAGGCTGCGGCGCGTCAAAGCAGCGTGAAGCGCCCGCCCCAGTTTGTCCGCGCGTCGCCGTCGACCATCTTGATGGACCGCGAGACTGTGGCCGTGCGCGGCCGCGCAAGCAAGAAGCCGCTGGCAGTGATCCACGAGGAGCAGGAGAAGCTCAACCGCTTCGAACCGCAGTATATTCCGCATCCGACCCGAGGAATCGACGCATCGGCCAAAGCGAGGCTCCAAGACGAGTACAATACCAAGCCGCGCCAAGTGAGGTACAACTGATCCCAGTCTGTGTGCATCCAACAATAGCGGTCACATGCTTGCTTGCATGTAGCACCGTCCCACTCAATCTCATGGAGAGCAACAACCAAGGGGCAGAAGATGACGCAGTGAGGGCTGGAAAGCGGCCCGCACCGGCGGCGATCCCACAAGTGTTTTTGCTCTAGACGACTCCCTACACTACTACTATCTTTCTTCTCCTACTTGTCTCCCTCCATTCAACCATGAATCCACGCACTTGATACATTTTTGGTCTTCTTCTATACAAATGATCGCCGACTACAAGTTGGATGCCGACCGGGACTTGGCCCACGAGTACTCGCCCTGGTGGTACACAAACCCGTTCTTCTCGACGAGAGCATCGCTCTCCGGAGGCCCACGGGACCCAAAGGCATACGGCAACGGCTTGATCTTCTCTTCTTCGATCTTGTGCAGAAGCGGTGTGAAAATTTCCCACGCAGCGCGAAGCTCGTCGTCTCGGACAAACGCAGCTTGTTTGCCGTCAAGCACGTCCAGGATCAGCCGCGTGTATGCTTCGGGCATGTGAGTGTCAGCGTACCTACGTACGGTTGGCCTTATAGCATCTGTGTAGTATATAATTGGGAGATACCGTTCGTGGTACGTAAGGTCCAGCTCGCTCGAAACGGCGACGGTGTTGAGTCCAGGTGACTTGACGTTCGTCTTCATATACATGGCCTCCTGCGGCTGCAGGCGCAGGACGAGTTCGTTGCGAGGAATATCAATGTTGGGAAACATGTGCGATGCGCCGGGCGCGGGCTTGAACTGGATCCGGACCTCAGCCTTGCGTTCGTTCAGTGCCTTGCCCGCCTTCATGATAAACGGGACACCGTCCCACCGCGTGTTCTTGATGCGGAGGACCGTGGTCGCAAACGTGGGCGTGACCGAGCCTTGAGGCACCGTCTTGTCCTCGAGGTACCCTTCTTCGGTCTCATTCCCAAGGTATTGACCGAGCACCGTGTCGTCAAGCGTGATTGGCTCGATGCAGCGAAGGAGCTTGACCTTTTCGTCGCGAACGTGGTCGGCAAAGTTGTCCCCGGCGCAGCGCACGGGTGGCTCCATCGCGACAAGCGAGAGCACTTGCAGCAAGTGGTTCTGCATCACGTCGCGGATGATGCCGTACGAGTCAAAGTACCCACCGCGGCCCTGGGTCCCAATGTCTTCCTTGAACGTGATCACGACGCTCGAGATGTGGTGGCTGTTCCAGACGGGCTCAAAGTTGACGTTGGCGAAACGTAGCACGAGGAGGTTCTGAACCATTTCCTTCCCAAGGTAGTGGTCGATGCGGTAGATCTCTTCTTCCGGGAAGATGGCGTTCATGCCCAGCGACATCTCGTTGAAGGAAGGCAGGTCGTGCCCGAACGGCTTCTCGACGACGACGCGGTTCCAGCCGCGGGTCGAATACGCCGCCTCCTTGACCGTGCGCCCGGTCGGGATGAAGACATTGGGCGGGATCGCGAAGTAGAAGAGGCGGTTCTGCACCGAGAGTCCCGTCTCCTGTTCGAGCACGACCATCTCTTGGCTCACGGCGCGCATCTGCTTGATCGAGTCGTACCCGCCGTGGCGGTAGACGCACATGTTGAGGAACTGCTGCTTCTTGTTCTTGTCGTCGGTCTTGAGGTAGCTGTCGATGGATGCTCGAAACTCGGCGTCTGTCTTCTCGCTGCGCGCGTACCCGACGATGATCGTGTGCTTGGGAAGGTGGTCATGGAGGTAGAGCTCAAGGAGCGAAGGGTACGTCTAGGATCGCCATGCATGAGTTCATGCTCCTTGCGGCGTCTGGGAGTATCATCTACCTTCTTCTTGGCAAGGTCGCCGGACGCGCCGAGGACGAAGATACACAGCGACTCCTTCATGTACGACGCCATGGCCCAGCTGCTTGCGTCTCCTTGCGAATATCCAAGAATGCGTCGCTGGATTTCTAATCACCTTTGAAATCGGATTGCTCGTTTAATCCATTTACAGAGTTTTGGAGAGACCAAAAACAGTCGTGGCAGGCTGCAAGGCACGCTACTCGGCTGCGAGGCACGACTCGCGACGTATCCCTTCAGCGAGGCTGCCACGCGCCTCTGATGCATCAACACAGCACGATCGGGTGGCGGCCCAAGCAAGGTGACGCAGTGCCGCATCCAATGATGACGCAACCAACACCCCACGTGGCAGCGCGTGGGCATGGCGTGGGCCCAGCCAGTAGTACCTCGGCGGCTGTGAGAGAAGGTTGGCAACAAACGAGCGAGATGGGCTCTAGTTAGGTCAACTGATTTGACGGGGCACGAAGGCTGCGTGGAGTTCTCGCTAGAAGTTGCCGTATTGAAGCAAGGATTCTCTACTTCATGAGCCTGCTTCAAGACTGTGGTGGCTCGTGGGTGGCAACGTTGAGCTGCTTGCACCGAATATTCTAAAGTTTGGCTATCGCTTTGACAAGTGCGCAACTTCTCACACAATTAATTGATCGTCAGCGCTCTCCAAGACGTGGTTTGGATCGCTCACCATCCCGTCATTGGTCGAAATGCAACAAAATATGCTTACGACACATGATTGGTCACATTTCAACGAATCGCGAGCAGCGAGGCTGAGATCTTCATCTGCCATCGGGAACGATGCGACGATCCATCACAGGGGGTCTTGGTGGTCGCTCGCCCGTAAGCGGGTTATCGACTGCACGTAGAGGCCTCCTGGCGTTGGCCGCCGTACGTCTTGCAGACAGCCAGATCAGTGCACCTTCTTTCCACGCCTCGGCTTATCGTGGTCGCGGCCTGGACTTGGCAAGCCCTAGTAGTGGCAAAACCTCTGGCATTCTCAACGCTCGTGCGACTATCGATACCAAGTTCCGCCTCTCGGACAAGTAGGAACCCGGATCGATGCTGGAATTACAGCCGCGTGTGTTAGATTTGTTGCATCCTTTCGCGATGACCCACCGCCGTTCGGCTTCAACGGCCTCGGCGAGCTCGTCTACATGCGCACATACTCGCGCGAGAAGATCGATGGCACCAAGGAGCAATGGTACGCGCAAGCTTCTCGTAGCTCAAGTAATCAAAGTCACTAGGTACGAGACCGTGGCACGGGTCGTGAACGGAACATACAGCATGCAAAAGCGATGGTTTCTCGAACGCAGCCTGGGCTGGGACGAAGCGAGGGCCAACGCATCGGCATGCGAAATGTACAGACGCATCTTCAAGATGCAGTTCTTACCCCCGGGTCGCGGGCTCTGGGCCATGGGATCTCCGATCACGGACGAGCGTGGTCTCTTTGCCGCCCTCAATAACTGCGCTTTTGTCTCGACCGAAGACATGGCAACGCGGCCGTCGCCTGCCGAGCCGTTTTGCTTCCTCATGGACGCTGCAATGCTCGGTGTTGGCGTTGGCTTTGACACGAAAGGCGCCGGCACCTTACACGTCCATCGTCCATTGCCTGCTAGCAACGAGCCATTTGTCGTGCCCGACTCCCGGGAGGGGTTCGTTGCATCGAGAATATGATGTGCATTCATTGATTTCGTACTAGGTGGGTTGCTTCGGTGCAGTTGCTGCTTGAGGCCTACTTGCTGAAAGGGCCGGCGCCCGCGTTTGATTACTCGCTCATTCGACCCGCTGGCGCACCGATCCGTGGGTTTGGCGGCGTGAGTTCGGGTCCTGCCTCGCTGCAGGCGCTCCATGAGTACCTCCGAAACACGCTGGAGCCGCTTGTCGGACATGCCTTGACCGTACGTTCCGGTGATGATACATAGGTTAAACATGGGCTGCGTAGGTGCGGGCCATCGTCGACCTCATGAACCATATTGGCGTTTGTGTTGTCTCGGGTAACGTGCGGCGGACGGCGGAAATCGCCTTTGGTGACCCTCTGGATGAGGAGTACATTGCTCTAAAGGACTACACGGTCAACCCAGACCGCGCCGCGTACGGCTGGACGTCCAACAACTCGGTGTTTGCCTCGCTGGGCATGGACTACACGCCGATTTGTCACCACATCGTCCAGTAAAACATGTTCGTCTCGCGAGGAGACACACTCAGTGTGTGACGATAGGAACGGAGAGCCAGGCTTTGCGTGGCTCGACAACATGCAGCGATATGGTAGTGCTACTTGCCCTAGAGACTGGTGCGAACTGCCGTAGGCCGCATGGTTGATCCGCCGAACAACAAGGACGCGCGCGCGAAAGGCGGCAATCCATGCTTGGAGCAAACACTCGAGTCGTACGAGCTGTGTTGCCTCGTCGAAACTTTTCCAGCCAAGCACGCGTCTCTCGACGATTTCAAGAAGACCCTTCGGTAGAGCTGCGTGTGACGATAGGATGACGTGCAACCGACCATTTTAGCTACGCATACCTCTACGCCAAGACTGTCACGCTGGGCCAAACACACTGGCCAGCCACGAACCGTGTCATGCTGCGAAACCGGCGCATCGGCTGCAGCATGAGTGGCGTCGCGCAGTTCCTCTCGCATCGGTACACCAACGACGCGTCCACGGGCACTATATGTGATGTTGTAGTGGGCTGCATGAGCTACAAACGTGGTGCAATGAAGGTTACGAGGCCATTCAGGCCTACGACAAGCAGTTCTCGGACGCTCTAGTCATCCCACGCTCGATCAAGACGACAAGTATTAAGCCCAGTGGCACCGTGAGTCTCCTAGCAGGCGCAACACCGGGCATGCACTATCCAGAGAGTCGATTCTATGTGCGACGAGTGCGCCTCGATGGGTCGTCGCCACTCGTGTCGGCACTTCAAGCAGCGGGGTACACGACGCGGTGCCGTATCCTTGAAGCCAATTGTGTGATGCATTAGGTACCACGTCGAGCCGGCAGTTGAGGCCCCCAAAACCACGGTTGTCGTCTCGTTTCCAATCGACGCTGGCGAAAACATCCGCACGCTATCGGAGGTCTCGGCGTGGGAGCAGTTGTCCCTAGCCGCTTTCTTGCAACGCTACTGGGCGGACAACCAGGTGAGCTGCACAATCACGTTCGAGCCACAGCGCGAGGGCCCGGCGCTGGCGCACGCGCTCAACTTCTTCCAGTACCAACTCAAGGGCGTGAGTTTGCTCCCGCAGCTGCCGAGCGGCGCGTATGCCCAAATGCCTTACGAAGCGATCTCAAAGGCCCAGTATGAAGCCTTGGTGGCCACATTGGAGCCACTTTCGTTCAAGAATATTCGAGGCATCGACAAGCCCTCAGAGGGGCCCGATCGCTTCTGCGACGCCCCAAGCTGCGATCTCCAGCCGCAACAACATTAACAATTC